CAGGTAGCCCAATTAAGCTTGAGATATCCTGAGAGCAAAGAAGTTTTGACATAGCATTTTACATGTAACCTTGTTTGACTTATTGAAACAGCTCATTGTTTTCTCTAAGCATTTACTCTTGTTTAGGGTAAAGATTCATACTTAGCCCCAGTTCTTCTCAGAACTCACAATTATAATGTGAGCTCAGGAAAGCCAATCAAATGTTGTTTCTTAGTAAACGTCTGTCACCAAACCCTCCAATCCAAACAGTTCTAGTAGTTGTCCATAAACGGATCAGAATAGCTTTTGGTCCAATCTCCATTCTTTTCATCTTACTAAATTGCTGTTTTCCACGCTTTCTTGTTTGTTGAAATCTCATTTACTCATCAAGGTCACATTTAATGCCAACTCTTTCAAGTGACTTTCCTTGAATACTTCAGTTCAAGTTGGATCCTATTTCCTCCCCAATTCCAATATTTTGTACTGAAAATGTGTCATCCATTTCAGCGATTAATTATATTTTATCTTCTGCTTTTACTTAACACTTTGTTTTGTACATAAGGAATACATGCATATCAGAAATCATAAACTACATTTTTAGAGTTCCTTCTCAAAAGTCAGTTAGTATTTTACAAATTTAGTAGCATTACTGAGATATAATTGATATTCAGTAAAGTGCATGTATATAAAATGTACAATTTGATAAGCTTTGACATGTATCTCTGTGAAACAATTACCACAATCAAGAGTGAACATATTCATCATCCCTAAAAGTTTCACCATTTTTAATTCCTCCCTCCTATCCCGCCTTACTCCCCTTTGTCTTGAGGTTGTCCCCAGGTAATCACTGATGAGCTTGCCATCACTACAGATTAATTTGTTTTTGATAATTTTGTATACATGAAAACATACATTATTAGAATTGGTTTTTTCCTGGATTAGGTTGCTCAGCATAATTATTTTGAGCAGGCTCAGCTTCCTGGGTATGTGACAGGTATGTGTACAAGTCATTTTGTAGAGCCCCACAAGATCCTGTTTTAAAAGCATCCAGCACTTAGGGAGGAAATAAAAATTGTTGTAAAATGAACAATAATGTAAATAGATACATAGCTACAAAAAGAGCATCCAGCACTTGTTTTAATGTTCTGCTGTCAATATTTTGAAATTCTTAATGATTTATAAAAGAGAACCCATATTTACATTTTGTGCTATCCTATAAGTTATATGTTAAAGATTCATTCCTGAATTAGAGATTCATCATATATTAGTCAGTCATTCTATTTTATTACTGAGTAGTGTTCCATTTTATGTATATATACTACAATTTATTTGTTCATATTTAGATGGCCTTTTCCAGTTCAAATAAAGCATGTGTAAACATTTTTGACAAGTCTTTGTACCGAGCTATGCTTCCATTTTTCATAGGTAAATACTTAGGTTTGGAATGACTGGATTCCATACCTAATCATGTAGTATATATACTTCTAACTTCTTTAGAAATTGCTAAAATGTTTCACAAAGTACATTCTCAAAGCCTATGTATAGGAGTTTCAGTTGTTCTACATCCTGGCCAACCCTTGGTTTGAATTTCGATTATTCTGATTGATCTGTTGTGCTATCTCTTGCAGTTTGATGTTCATTTCCATAAGGACTTAAGACTAGTTTTCTGTTGCTGAGTTGCCTTCCATGTGCTTATTTCCTAATTGCACATTTTCTTCCCTTTAGAAACCATTCAAATCATTACCCATTTTCTTAGTGGTCTGATTGTATTATTATGATGTTTTAAGAATAATATCTGAACATAAGTCCTTTATCAGATACACGACTGAAAGATATTTTCTCTTGCCTTATTGGTTGCTTTTCATTCTTTTCAGAGCATCTTTCAAATAGCAGAAAGTCTTAATTTTGATGAAACTTCTGTTTGTCAATATCTTTTCTTTGATAGTTGTGTTCTTGGTGTCCACCCAAGAATCCTTGCCTAACTCAAAGTCATAAAAGTTTTTTTTTTTTTTAAACTTGTGGAAGTTTGATCATTTGAGGGTCTATTTAGGTCTGTGATCCCATTTTGAGCTAATTTTTGTAAACAGTGCTAAGGTATGGACTAAGGTTTGTATTTTTGCTTTTAGAGACCCAAAGGTTACAGTATAATTTGCTGAAAGTGTATCCTTTTTGAACTGATTTTTTTTTGGTAAATTTGTCACAAATCAGCTGTCCATATATATACTGAAGTGTTTCTTACATCTATTCCTGTACTTTGATGTATTTATCTATCTTTATGCCAGTATCATACTATTTTGATAGTCCCAGCTTCACCATAAATTCTGAAATCAGTCAGGGCTAGGGATATTGTTAAATGATGGTTAATGACATTAGTGATATGTGTGTGTGTGTGTGTATTTAGGGTGTAGTGATAAATCAGGACAAAGATTTATTTCAACAGGTTAAATGCAATATCACTAATGTGAAATAGTGTCACCAATTTTTTTCTGTATTTTTTTTTCACATTTTTCTTCTCTGATGTTCATTATTGTCTTTTTTCGTGCCTACTTTGGCTTCCAGTTGCTATTGTTTCTTTATTCTCAAAATGAAATTTAACATCATTAACTTGAGACCTGTCTCCTTTTCTACTATATGTGCTGTACTATAAATATCACCATCTGTTTTAACAGATTATAACACATTTGGGTATATTATATTTTATCATTCCACCCAAAGTATTTTCTAATACCCATTTTATTTTCCCTTCAGGTTATTTAGAAGTGTGTTCATTAGTTTCCAAATATTTGAGAACTTTCAAATAGCCTCCTGTTATTTACTTTTAATTCTATTCCACTGATATCAAAAAACATACTTTTGTCTGACTTTAATCTTAAAACTCAAGATATATAATTTATCTTGATAAATTACTTGAAAAAATACATATGCAGATTTCACTGGATGTAATGTTATATCAATTTTAATTAAGTCAAGTTGGTTGGTAGTATTAATCAAGGCTTCCACAGCCTATTCTGATTCCGCTTGTTCTAGCATCATTAAGACAGAGGAGCTGAAATCTCCAAGTGTATTTATTATTTTTTTGTTGTTGAAGTTCCATTAGTTTTTGTTTAATGACCCTTGACAATCCATTATTACAATCAAAATCATCTAGGCCTGTCATGTTCTTTCATTTGAATACTTTTTCATGATGAAGTGACATTCGTGTCTCTGGTAATATACTCTAAACTGAAACCTACATTGCCTGACAGTAATACAAGAATTTCAGTTTGCTTTTCATTAGTGTTAATATGGTTAATGTCCTTATACCATGAATAATCTGATGTTTAAAGACGGTTTCCTTGTAGATTGTCTGATAATGTTTTATTTCATCTTAGAAGATATATATATTCTTTTTGGGTGACGGGTATTTTTGTATTCCAGCATGCCCCCAGTGTTCTGTAAACTTTAATGACCTTGGCCTCTCTGGATTCCTAGGTCTCAAGGAGACCAACTATCTGTGCCATGCCTGGAAAATCTATCCAGACAGTAAGCTAGGACTATCATAAAGCTCACTTCTTTTTCATCTCATCTTTCAAGGATCACTGTCCTCTGGTGCTGATGTCCAGTATCTTAAGAATTCTTGTTCATATATTTTGTATAGTTTTTCATTTGCTTAAGGCAAGAGGATGAATCCATGTTACACCATCTTAACTAAAATTAAAATCCAAAAACCTATACTCCTTTTTCTCTTGATTTTACTAAGACAACCATTATAATATTGAATAGCAGTGTGAAAACAGTTTTTTTTGGTTTTTAAAGATACTCCTTAGGTTGAAAAAAAAGTCTCTGATTCTTAGTTTGGGAAGGTTAGATTTTTGAGTCAGAGAGGCTTTTTGAGTTCTGTAATTTGATTTTCTGTACTTACTGAGATTTTCATATAGTTTTTCTCTTCTGTTATATTAATATGGTGAACTATGTTGATTTTTAAATACTAAAGTAACTGTATTACTGGGTTTAACTCCTCATAGCCTTGATATATTTTTTTAAAAAATGTACTACTACATTTAAATTTTTATTTTTTTTAAAGGAGTGTAGTACTTATGTTAAAACAGATATTGTTTGAAGTGTTCTCATAATGTTTTGCTTGATACTGGTATCAGGGTAATGTTTTTATAAAATGAATAGGAAAATGTTCCCCCACAATGTATTTTCTAAAAATGTTCTATAAATTTCATATTATTCTTTCCTATATGTTTGTTGAGTTAATGATCCTGAAAAGTTGTGTGGGGTATTTCTGACTAAGAAGTTAGTATATGTCCTGTAAATTTTTCTGTTTCCTCTGGATCCAGTGTGGTCATGTGTATCTTTAATTTACATTTTTTCATTTCATCTATGTTGTCAAATTTATTGACAAAAAATCAAAAACAATATTATAAATGTTCAAATCGAATTCCTGTACTTTTTAAATTAATGTATCTATAATCACATTGGTACTGTTCTAATTGATCTAGTAATTTGTCTTCCCTTTATGTTTTGATCTAGGCAGAATTTTTCAGTCTCACTGATCTTTTTAAGGATTAAAATTTTGGTTCAGTCAATTTTCACTGTTTTATTTCACTTCCTTACTTTATTGTTTTTTTTCTATCTTAATTTTTCTATCTTAAGGTATTTTAGCTTGTCAATGTTAGATTTCTTTTCTAACACTTAATGCTTAATATGTTCATCAAAGTTCACTTTTATTTCATCTCACAAATTTTGATAGTTTTTGCTTTTACCAACTTCCAAGTATTATCTAAGACATAAAGATTATTTAGTATTATATTGTTTAATCTATACGTATTTTGGAATTTTTCCCATATTATTTTGCTATTGATTAGCAGTATCCTTCAGTTATATTTCTAAAATAATTGTCAAGAAAAAAATCTAATGTTATCATTTAAATTACACTGAGTTTTTTTTTTTTTAAGATTTATTTATTTGTGCATACAGAACTGGGGTACAGGCCAGAGGCTCAGGGGTGGCGAGAGGCTTCACCAGAGACAGAGTGGGGAGCAGAACAGGCAGGTACACTGCTGAGGGGAGCAGCAGGCGGGTCAGGAGGGTCTACCACACCATGTGGTCACCTCTGGGGCAGGCTGGAATCAAACTCATGTTGAAGTGGCTTTAGCTTCTTAGTGCTGTGCTTTAACCCGCTGAGCCACCTGGGAGGGCCACACTGAGTTGTTTTTCAAGACCTATTATTTTGTTTATCTTTCCTAAAGTCATGTGTTCACTTAACAAGGTTTACTGTGCAGTGTTGGGGTGGATCTTTATAAATGTCAAGTAGGTCAAGAGTTTGATATTATTTTTGTTCCTTCTATATAATTACTGATTTCCTATTTGAACTGATTTTATCTCAGTGTGTTAAAGAGCCAACAAATATTGTGATATATTATGTATCTATACCTCCTTCAATAAATTTTTACTATTTCTCAGTCTCTGAATTAGGTTGATACACATTTAATCTTGTTTTGTCTTGCTTAATTGATCCCTTTATCAGGACAAACTGCCATTCATTATTCCTGGGAAGTTCCTTTGTCTTTCAGTTTATTTTGTCAGATATTAACATAACCAGGAGTTTTGTTTAGATTGATGCTTTCAATTTATTTTTTCTAATCCATTTACCCTTAACCTATCTTCCTCTTTATTTTCAAGATGTTTTTCATATACATCATAGTTGGGTCTTGCTTAAAAAAATCCATCTCTCCCTTTACATTGGAGTGTTTAGACCTTTTGTATTTAATGTACTTTTTAATATGGTTGGATAAACATATTCCTATACCATCTGTCCAATCTTTTATTTTTGTCCTCTTTTATAGTCTTCCTTTCAATCATTTGAATCTTTGAAAAAGTTCCTTTATTTCTGCTTTTGTCTCTTCATATCCCTTTTGATTTTTTGATCTATTTTTCTCCTACTTTCATCTTTTTATAAATCCTTTGCATACTTACCAAAGTTATAAGACCTTTTAACACTCGGTGTTATTTCAATCATTTCTATAATTTCTGGGTCTGTTTCTATAGACTGTTTACTGGTCATATTTCCTTGCTCCTTCATGTTTTCCAATTCGTAATAAAGATTCTAGTCATCATTATATTTTTGAGTATTTTTTACACAGAGAGTATTCATTTAAAAGCCATACTTTGTTCTGCCCTACCTTAATGCTACTCATCTTGAGCCTTTCAAGATTTTTTTTTTAACTTTTTTTGGAGTTGATTAAACGCTGTTCCCTACCACTAAAAACATTATATTTGGTGGGTATTTACAAATAGCTAGTGCATTCAATTAAGTATCTTCCCTCTGGCTTTCAGAACTCAAATGATAACTGAACTTGTATGATTTCTTGAGCTATTTCAAATCTTGATTTGCAATAACTTTTTCCCTGAAAGTTCTTTACCCACATTTGCAGAGATTTACTTACTCATTTAGTTTCAAGGGAATTCCTCTACAGATTTCTCAATTTCTTTCTCTGCATAACACTCTCCTGGGAGTCTGTAGTTTAAATTTTGTCCTTCGGCCTCCCAAATGTAGGAAGAACTTTAGTTCTTTTTTTGGGTTACAGCTCCCATGTGTCCAGAAAACAGTCTCCAGGTTGACAATCATGCTGACAACCATAGGACATGGTATTGATATGACAGTTTAGTGCTGTTTTCCTGTGTTTGAAACCAGTTATTTCCATACATTTTGTCCTGCATTCTACTTGGTTTGGTGAAAAGACAAGTTTCATTGTAACAAAAGTCACAATGTATTTCTTTGCTACATTTAACAAAAAAAATATGGAATATCTATTGTGTATGGCCTGAAAAACAGATAAATGAGTCACAGGCAAGAGCTATACAAACAAGTAATGTGTTACAATATTGTGCTGGCTTTCAGACATGGCCCCTCATTCTTTAATACTCCTCTTTCAAGATGTGGGTTTTACTTTCTCTTCTTTTGAGTGTAGAAGTTTCAACTGCCTGTCAAATAGAATATGACTGAAATGATACCTTTCTTTTAGTGCAGGCATTAAAAAGCTGGCTGCTTCTTGGAATGTTCAATCCAATAGGCTGGAAGGGACCAAACAGATACGCAGAACACCCCAATAGTTTTATTTTTGGTTGACATCTCCAGTGACTCAGCTATTGCCTGCCATGCAAGTGCAAAAGCCTCATGTATAGAGTGAGCTAACATTTTGAGTCACTCCAGTTTATGTGGTGTGTAAGGGGGATGATTTTAAAGGTCTGTTGGCAAGTTATTTATTCCTAGGGTCTTACATTTTTTTTTCAAGGTGTAATATATTCAGTCCATAACGGTAGGGAAATATAATATTTCTAAGAGGTGATGAGAGTGTGAACTAAAGTAGTATTAATAACCTTCCTAGGATATTATTTTTTTCTAACTTTAAGAAAATAATTTTTTTCCTGGAGTAATTTCATTTGAATGCTGCTGTTCCCTTTTTAAAAAAATATAAGAATTTTCAAAATCAAACCAAAATTTAAAATTAACCACTGATTTTAGTAAACATGACATTGCAGAAACATTTTAATGTGAAATGATAGCCTCCATAGTGTTTAAAAAGTCTGTGGCAATACGAACACTAAAACTACTATAATTTTAATGTTTTTTTTTTAAAGATTTATTTATTTATTCGTACAGAACTGGGGTACAGGCCAGAGGCTCAGGGGCGGTGAGAGGCCTCACCAGAGACAGAGTGGGGAGCAGAACAGGCAGATCGACGAAGTACACTGCTGAGGGGAGCAGCGGGCGGGCCAGGAGAGGTCTGCCTCGCCATGTGGTCTCCTCCGGGGCAGGAGGCAGCGGGAATCGAACTCATGCGGAAGTGGCCTCAGATTCTCAGTGCTGTGCTTTAACCCGCTGCGCCACCAGGGAGGGCCTAATTTTAATGTTTTAAGGGATAATAATGGAAAGCTGATTTCAAAAAATAAACTTATTTCACTTTTTATATTTGGTTTTTATATTAAACATTACAAATTTAAAATTTTTAGCATATTTTTATAATTTATAGCAGAGTAACATGACAATCTTAAATAGCAAAAGTCATTATTCTAGATCAGAATACTTAGATGATGCTCTCAGACTAACTACTATTATTTATTTCCTATGACCAATACTCACACGTTGAAGCTCTTGGCCTGAGCACTTTAATGACCAGTTTATTGCTGGCAATAGAAATACTGTCATATTACTGAAGCACAAACAATACAAATGTACTTTCATAAATATTGGCTAATAAAAAGCATTTGTGAGAGTGTGCTCCAGACACCTCAGGAACATGAGACTGACAAGTTTTTACTTGATTCCGTCATCCTAGGAATCAACAAGTTTTTTTAGAATGTTCCATTTCACCTACCAGTATTGTTTTGGAAAAACTGTGTACTTGTTTTAATGAAGCACAAGTTAGTTTTTAATGTTAAAAACCAGTAGTACTTACATACCACATTTTACATTGTGTTTCCATTTTTATTTTTGTTTGTGAAAGAAATACAGGCTTATCATAGAAATATTTGGGAATAAGGATTTCACTTGTACTAATCCTTTTGATCCTCATAATCCTATGACTCATTATTATTATTCTTTACAGATGAGGAAACTAAGGCACATGGGGCAAATAACTTGTGCAGGCTCTTACTATTGTATATTTTAGTGGCTATCAATGCTCTGCTGTTATAATGTTGTCATGAATATTTTCTTTTGCAGCATCAGAGAATGTCTTTACAATAAATTTAGAAAATGTCTTCAGAATAAAAGCAAAAAGGATTAGCAGGGTCCAAAAAGTATTCACATTGTGAAGTTTTATGACATCTAAGCATTTTCTTTAGAGACTATATTATGACTCGTCCAACAGTATGAGTGAACGATTTTGCCATCATTGATTCTTTTAATCTGTCTGAATGCCAAAAATTTATCTAAATGCTACATTAATTTGCGTTCTCACTTTTAGAAGTGGAACTTCATTTTCAACGGATTTTTGCAAGTATTCTTGGAATACCATGGTAGTAACCATACTGGTGACATGTAGACATTTGTCTACATATTACATTTGGAAGTGCCCGAATTTGAATATAGTTTACAATTTTGATTTACGTATAAGATGCTTTTACTAAGTTGGTTCCAAGTGGGACGCAAGATGCTCCTTTAAATTCTACACTACACAGAAGAGTATTTTTATGCATTAAATTTATAAATAAAATTTGTTAAGTTGTTTGGAACTACTAGCTAATTTCTAGTACAATTCCCCCGCCCCCCTTTTTTTTTGGTCTCATGGTGGGTGGGGGGAGTTGTTATAGACATTCTTGGGTCATGAGGCTTAATTTTCTAATCACCACAACTGCTTAGTGACTGCAGAGTTAGTCACTCGCTAGGTGCCACCGCCCAACTTGATGAGCTCCCCACGGATATCTGCAAACCGGCGTCAGGGACTCTCGGGAAGGTGCCAGCGTCACCTCAGCCTCATCGAGGGAGCAGCGCACGCCGACACTCCCCTCTTCACGGATCAAGTCCATCGGTTCAACTCACAGGACTTCATCCCATCTCGTCACCTCAGACAGCGAACTGAACTCATTGAACATATTACTTAGCTGACCCCAAAAGGAGTCCCCATCCTCCTCTATATTGAATACAAAGTTATGACAACTGGCTCAGACACGACCCCAGTTCTTTCTCCCCATCTGATTCATGCCTGAGGCTTCTAGTTGTCTTGGGTTCGCCCGAAGGACCCCATCTTCCGGAGACTGCTGTCCGAGGCAAAAGCAAAAAACAGCAGTCACTAGGCTGACTCTCCTGTGTGACCAATCAAAAGCGGAGACCTGCGGACGGGGACGCTCTGTTTGGCGCGGCAGGTTTTGGCAGGTTCTGAGCAGGCAGCGCCGAGGGCGCCCAGATTCCCGACAGGCTCCGCGCGGGGGGCTTCATCCGTCCCTCCGCGTTGCCGCCGCCGCTGCCGTGGTTGCTGGGGGTCGGTGAGAGGAGGTGCTGCGGTGGATCCTGTGGAGTCCTAGTCCGTCGCTGTGTTACCTCAGGAGCTTTCCTCCCTGTGTCGCACGTTGATTCTTGTGGTGTCGAGGGGCAGTCCCTGCAGACACCGCGGCACGCAGTGGCGATGCCTCTTTTTGCCACTAATCCCTTTGATCAAGATGTGGGTGAGTGCTTTTGCCGCCCTCGGTCCAGCCTCTGCGACTCGACGAGCCCACTCTGCCCTTTCTGCGCGCATTCTTGGACCCCCGGCTGGGACCAACCTCTCCCGTTTTCCTGAGGCTCCTTGCAGAATTTGGGGGTTGACGGGGGGCTTGGAGCATCCTCTCAGAGAAATGGGACCCAGTGCCTGCGAGACGGGCCTTGACTAGCGCTGTGTTTGGACCGAATTACCTAAAGGGTTGATGTGCAGGCCTGGGAGGAACAGCTGGTGTGGCGTCTGGTGTTGGGCGGAACCGCGGGCTGGGGACCACCTCGGCTAGGGTGGACTTGGAAGCCTTCAGGGGTTTCCCTCGGTAAAATGCTAATCGCTAGCACGAGCAGAATGTTTTCGGTTAGGTTCCTTAGAGGGTGTAAACATTTCTTTTTATTGTAACTCTAATGGGGTGAAGCGTTTCTGGCTAAGGATAGACATGTTGGAAGAGATGAAAAATGGGATAGTTGGCCGAAACTGAACCAGAGGTGAAGACCTGAACCAGTGTCTGGCCTTCTCCGATTAAGTCTCTGTCCTTTTTAAAGTGTTGACAGGTATCTCGAATCTGAAGTTGTCTTGAATTTGAAGTGCCGTTTTTCTTTTCTGACTCATTGCTTTTAAGTACTGATGAAAGCAATCGAACAGGTTAGTTTTTTGTTGTGTATTTGCCAGAGAGGTTTCTGAGGGTAATAATTACAGGAGTTTTGAGTTCCTAGGAAGATTGGGGCGATTTGAATGCAGTTAGAACTATCCCAATACACATTGAAACTACCATGTAGCAGTTCTTTAAGACAAAATTTACTAATTTACTGAAACTGTGTTAAGGCACTAGGGCAACTTTGTGGAACCACTTTAGATGTCCTTGCGTATTTTTTGGTAAAGGGTGAATATTGAATTTTGATTTTCTGACTTCTTACGGCACATCATCAAAGCTTAGAATAGGAAAGGGTTCAGTTTGATATCTCGATGGCTTCTTAGCTCAGAGTGAAATTATGGGTAAGTTTCTTACACTCCTTTGAGTCCTAGTCTCCAATTCCTTTAAAGAAGGAAAAAATACATTGTTTGGAATTAAATAAAATACACATAGAAGACCAGTGCTTTAGTATAATCGTACCTACTAAAGAATACTAAGTAATAATTTTTGTTGTTTTCCAATTTACGTGAATATATTGAATCTTAGGAAGTGATGGTACATTAGAGTTCTCCATTAATACTTAGTAATTAATTGGAAAATTGCATTTAATTTAATAAGCATTTAGCATACAATATACAGGACACTGCTCTGAGGCTTAAAAGAGGAGAGTGAGGAACAAGTCATGGTTGCTGCTGCCAAACAGTATTAACACATTAATTTCTAGGGCAAATACTTAAAATAAAATGACATTTTTCAAAAAGATTTATTTATTTATGCATACAAAACTGGGGTACAGGCCAGAGGTGCAGGGGTGGTGAGCGGCTTCATCAGAGACAGCTGGGAGCAGAACAGGCAGATGGACAAAGTATACTGCGCAGGGGAGCAAAGAGCTGATCGGGAGAGGTCTGCTTCGCCTTGTGCATCTCCTCTGGGGTGGGGCTTGAACTCACACCCATTGCCCCACCAGGAATTGACTTCTTAATATCTTTATAATCTGTTTCTAGCACCTTTGTCTTATTTTTGTGACCATATATGTGATCTAGCTAGCCAATCACACACACATATCCTATTGACAATTTGAGTAAACATTTCCATTGCATTCAGGTAAATTTCTTAATGTTAAGTCCTTTCTCAGTACTTGAAACCACTCAGTTTCAAGCACAGACTCCTTGCCCTTATGCTTTTTTTTCTATTTTTTTTTTAACCTTTCCACATGTTTTCATGCTTGAAAGGTAATTCAAGATTGAACTCATTATAGTTGAATCATTTCCAGAGTTTATCAGTAGTAATGCTGCTGATTGTTTGGACCATATGAATGTCTTTATCTGGAGTTTAATCTGTTTACATTGTGGGATGTTTAATAGCTCCCTGGCCTCTATTCATTGGATGTCAGTGGCACATCCACTCCACTTCCCAGCTCCCAGAAATAATCTCAAAAGTTTCCAAACATTGCTAAATACCTTACTTGGAGAACCTTTCTCTATCATACTTGCCACTGCTTTCCAAACTCCTGTAAAACTTTTTTTAAACCAAGTTAGTATTAAAAATAATATAGTTATATTCTATAATATGGTCCTTAATTATTTTATTTGTTGCTACATAATAGGTGCTTTATAAATGTTGCTTAAAAGTTATGTTTGGTACTTGGGTCAATTCTTTACTTATGATCCAGTTATCAAAATACATGAAAGGTCATCTAAGAAGACCTGTAAGAGACTCCCACTAAATAATCCTCCGACAGAGTCCAGTAATTCCCCTGGTAAATTTTTTTTATTAGTATTAGACACAAGATACAGTATGTATTCCTTCTCACTTTGTCCATGAGTTTGTCTGATTGTAAAGTATTTCACTAATTTATTTGGTATAATTCATCACTTAACATTTGTATGCTTCTGTACTTTTTCCAAAATTGTTTTCAGCTTTATATTTATACAGAAACTGTGAATCAGAAATTAACAATTTATGCAGTATCAGATTTCATTTAATGAGGCAAAACATCTGTGCTATCTTTTCGGTTTAACACCTAAACATGTTATTAGAATGTGAAGTCCATGAAGAAAGGGATTTTCATTTGACTTGTTCCCTTTTATAGCCCCATCATAGAGACCGTTCTCTAATAGAACTAATAAGCATTCAGTAAACATATTTTGAATAGATGAAACTCATTTTGGATGTATTTTTTCTCACCAAGGTCAACTCTTGAACTATAAAGATAACTTATTCTATCAAGTGTCATTTCAGATTCCCTAGTGACTTCCATTCTTGTTCCCTGTAAAAGTCAAATCTTAATCCATTTCTTTGTTTTCTTAGCATTCCTTTTTGAATGCTAAGAACCCATATTTTTTCTCATTTTTTTAAGTTTGTGATTGAGCTTTTGTTTTAGAAATTTATACCTCTTTGTCATGGGATATAGAAATAATTTCTTAGTTTCTTTCCCCAAACATACTCATTCACTCATCCTTTCCTTTTTTTTTTTTTTTAAAGATTTATTTGTGCATACAGAACTGGGGTACAGGCCAGAGGCTCAGGGGCGGCGAGAGGCTTCACCAGAGACAGAGTGGGGAACAGAACAGGCAGATGGACGAAGTACACTGCTGGGGGAGCAGCGGGCAGGTCAGGAGAGCTCTGCCATGCCCTGTGGTCACCTCCGGGGCAGGCGGGAATGGAACTCTTGCGGAAGCAGCTTTAAATTCTCAGTGCTGTGCCTTAACCCGCTGTGCCACCAGGGAGTGCCATACTCATCCTTTCTTAATTTAGTAAATGGCACTATAAATATTTACTATCCCTAATCTCTAAGTGTCTAGGAGTCACGTCGATTCTTCTTCCTTCATACACTACCTCCATTCTGTTTTTTTTTTTTCTTTCTTAGTGCCATTTTCATTTTATTTGCAAGATCATTGGGTCTATCTTGAAAATATGTACAAAATTTCATTAGTAATTATTTTATTCCAGTCATTTTGTCTCTTCCGTAGGCTATGCCAAGAGACTTCTAGTATGCTTGATCTGATTGCTCCCTACAGTTAGTTCTCTTCTACAAAGGTCAGTGATCTTTGCAAAACCTTAGATAATGCTACTTACCTGCTACAAACCCTTCATAACTCCCCATCCCATTAAAAGGGAAGAGAAAATATCTTAAAGTGACCCACAGTCTAATGCCTTGTATCTGAAATGATGATGATCTTTAGATAGGCTCACTCAAATCTTCTTGAATCTGAACACTCTGAGCTCATTCCTCCCCTTTTATCTGTAGTGTACCGTTTTCTTTGACTGAGGTAGTCTTCAGTTAGTTGAATGTCTTAATGTCTATCTATCACATCATTCAGCACTGTTCAAGTGAGTTTCAAAGAGATGCTTTGCCTAATTTCACCTTTTGTTGTCTTGTTCCATTTTATTTTTCTTTATAGTACTCTACCTCACTTTGATTGATTGATTGATTAACTCCTGTGTGTAATATAGATTCCCCAAGGATGAGAACTTTTTATTTCTATCCCTAGAACCTTAGGGACAGCACCTGATCTACAAGCTTTTTAAATAAGTGTAAGTAAACTTGGTTATTGTATTTTTAAGTAAGATGAGATAAATTTTAAGATTTAAGTGTGTTCTTTAAAAAAATGAACTACACTTTTAATAAAAGGCTGCTTGGCTTTCAGTCAGTAAGAATGATGCATTAATTATTCAAGTGCACTACCAGATCAAAGTAAATACCTTACTTTCCTTTTCTAAAATGAAGTAAATATTAGATTGGAAGATATTGTTCAGTATGACTCACTCAGTCTTGGTCTTCAGAGGGATCGTGTGTCTCTGTGGTAGAATTATGGGGCTCCTCATTTAGAGTAATTTTATTTGGATTTGTTTTACATACTAGGTTTCTTTTAAGACTTCTTCTTTGTAAAAGAGGGCTTAATCATAAAGCATTTAACTGGTCTTTATCAACATTTCCTCATGGAAGGAGGCTCTAAATTGTCAGAATTTCCTAAGTGACAGGAGCATTCTTTGTGGTAGGTCCTTAGAGATAGTACTTTAGTTTACGCTAGCAAGATGATTAAACCTGGAGACTGGCCACTCGTACTTACAGAACTAACCCTGTGATTAAATGGTTGGACTTTTGGGTCATATATCAGCCAAACCTCAAGGGAGGGAGAAGGGGCCTGGAGATTGTGTTCCAGGAAGTAGTCAATCCTTTCGTCAGTCAGGTCTTTACAAGGAACTCCCAGTATCAGCTCTGGACCTAGAAGCTTGGTTGAAGTCTTAAGAACACAAAAGTTTTATGTTTGTGACCTCCCAGATCCAGCACTGTGCTTTTGTCCTTTGACTGACTCAGATTTGTTTCTTTTATAATA